CAAAATAAACAGAACTAAATCATAACAAACATGAGCACTTGATTGTGAGAACTACACTTGAACAGAATTTGACTATGACCATAAACAGACTTGATAAACTCAACAGCAGGTTACACACACAAAGCTAGACAAGAGACTAAAGCATGAAGGCCACACACACACACAAATGACATAAAACACACCTGAAAGTAATAAAGACAATGTACCTGTAACGAATCATCCACTGAAGGCGAGTTGAAGTGAGAACCCAAACACCACATTACAGTACCAATCAATTGTACCAATTGATTGAAATGTACCAATGTATGTACCAAGTGTACGGCCCAAATGTACCAAGTGTGCGGCCCAAACACAGAGGGCTACACAAACTAAGCTAGACAAGAGTCTAAAGGAAACATGAGGCTACATATAGACGCAAGGACTAATGACATAAGACACACCTGAAAGTAATAAAGACAATGAACCAATCAAAACAAGACACTCAAAGCAAAGGGAGCGCATGACATAATCACATGTGGGGCACAGGGAATCACTTGACAAAACAGGAAATGTGACTCTGACAAACTTCTAAATATCTGGACCTGGACTATGGAGCAGAAGCAGGCCTGGACCATGGAGTAGTCGAAGTGATGCATGGACCATGAAGCAGTGGATGCGACCGTAGTCCGTGGAGAAGTGGCAGGCCAAGAATGTGGCGCATTGGACGAGACCATGGAGGATCAGGTAGCCATGGTGGAGCCAGCAGAGATGGGAACCACCAGTTTGGAGCTGGCGGAGATGATGACCATCATGGCGGAGCAGAAGACCACCAGAGATCAGGTGGTCACGACGGAGCAGCAGATCACTGGAGATCAGGAGGCCTTCCTGGCACCTTGGGAGGAGTTGTAAGAAATGCCGCTGCCTCAGGAGGAGCTGGGGAAGTGTGTGTGGCCCAAACACAGAGGGTTACACAAACAAAGCTAGACAAGAGTCTAAAGGAAACATGAGGCTATATATAAACACAAGGACTAATGACATTGGATACACCTGAAAGTAATAAAGACAATGAACCAATCAAAACAAGACACTCAAAGCAAAGGGAGCGCATGACATGATCACATGTGGGGCACAGGGAATCACATGACAAAACAGGAAATATGACTCTGTAAACTTCAAAATATCTGGACCTGGACTATGGAGCAGAAGCAGGCCTGGACCATTGAGTAGTGGAAGTGATGTCCATGGACCATGGAGCAGTGGATGTGACCGGGCCTGGAATGTGAAGCATCGGACGAGACAATGGAGAATCAGGTAGCCATGGTAGAGCCAGCAGCGGAGAAGATGACCATCATGATGACCAATGATATTTAAATGTCATTGTTCATATAAAACCAACATGTATTGAAAATCTTGCTTTGACATTCATACTGTTAAATAATATACAACTGCATGATAGAGTGACTTTGGCTACCTCAGGTCATTCAGAGGTTCCTGCGTGATTTAGCAAGAATCTCTTGCTTTCATTATCTTCTAAAGGGAAATGACACATTACTTATTTTTAGCTGACCATTTTTGAACCTCATTATGGAGATCTGCATGTTCTTTCTTGGGTGAAGAGGTCATCCATACAAACTTGTGTGTACATTTCCCATTTGCTAAACAACTGTGGCATATCATAACACACCCCAATAATAATTCTGGCATAGAGATGCTTATTTAGTGTCATCTATTGTTCATCAAAGCCAGTAACAGAAAACATCATGTAGGGTGAATCTTCACTGCATGCCCAAATGTAAAAGGAGGAAAATGATAAAACAAAACCACTTATATCCACTGACCAAATTATTTTGGATTCAGACAAAAGTCATGCGCTTCATAACAATCGCCGGATTTTGTGCAAATCAAATCTTTGGCTATTTTCCTGTGTATAGCAAATACAGCTGACCCCTCTCTCCTTTTCAATAGGCGCGGGGCGATGTGCGCGAAGGAGCGCGTTTAAACCTTTCCCAAGAATCATGGGAATTCAATTGTGTAGCCTACTCGAGCACTGGGAAACCGACAACCTGTGCTGTGACACCAGATCAGCCAGGTCAGCCAGCGGAAACCTCAGGACCATCATAAAACCTATTCGTGAAACTGTGCGCGCAAAATCTCATGGATTAACACGCTCAAACTCTTCTGATGTTCCCTTGTACACAACACTGCTGTCAAATTTACATGCAATCTTGCAGTTGTCCAGCAGGTGGCTGCACGTGTCCGTGTCTTTATGATGCACTTTAGCTCTTTACTCCAGAACACTCATATAGACTACTTATGTAACGATGATTTTAAGAAACGGCCCTTAAATCCGATGCTTTTGGGAAACGTAGATATGAACCAAGCAGTAACCTAGTTGTGTAAAAGTAGACTATAATCTGAACAAAATAATCAAAAGAATATATTTATGTTAAAAATATCATAAAAATAAATATTCATAACGTTAAGCAAAAAAAAAGATATAAGCCCCAATAAAGCTGACTGACGTTAGCAGATGGGGACGCTCAAGTTGTTGTTGTTACCAATATAAATAGATAATAATTGGTTTCTAAATGATTTCAAATATAGGACAGGCTACAGTGGATTACTATTATTCTCAACCAAATTAACTGAAAGGGATTTGTGTTGAATGTATTATATATGATCTTTGTCCTGTAGTTGAACTGTTTTGAGGATACACCTGTGATCAACCCCGTCAATAAAAAAAAGGAAGTGCAACGTTCTTTTGCGACAACATTCCCCGATACGCTTTTTGGGGGCACACAAAATAGCCTACATAGATACTTTTAAAGGGGGCCACGTTTACTCCCATGCACTGGCCCTAAGCATCCTGCATGCCGGCGTATTATGTGATACACATCTGGCACCTGAAAATGACTATGGCTGTAAACAGTCATTACAGGATACATTCAAACAACGAACAACATTGTATACCACCTTCTCAATTAAAGTTAATCGTCTTCTTCTATTGTTGTTGTTGTTGTTGTTGTTGTTGTTAAAAGTGAAGTGAATTGTGTATCTAGGGATTTATTAATGTATATATCCATATATTCGTGCAGTCCTAAAAATTCTTATCCAAGCTCAAACTGAGTTTAACATTTATCATTAACTCAACGAACCCACTAAGAAAAATATAATGTAGACCTATTTTATTTAAACCGGGAACTTTAAAACACTGTATACTCAACTTTAGTAGCCCACATGACTAAATATGTTCTTCAGAAACACTGAATGAGGGAGTCAAACACACTCCTTACGTTCCAACCTTATGCTTCGCGAACAGAAGAAGTCGGTTAACATTTTATAATAACTTTAATTCATCGTTAAGAATCATCATCGTAAAATCTATTGATCAAAGTTTCATTAAGTGTCTGATTATTTCATTGTAGATTAACTATGATTTAATAAACATTAGCTATTATGTAAAAATGTTTGTTAATGTTATTAAATAACAGTTATTAAAAGGGGTTATTTTATTGATTGCGTAGACCTTTTGTGTTAGGCTATAGCCTATAAAATTAAACAGTGCAAAACATGCACCCCATTATGGGGCTTTGGTAATTCTAATCAGGTTCGATTTATTGTCGTTTGGCAAGTTTTTCAGATGAGCATATTCTCTGTCCAATGAAGAAATGTAAAGACAAAAACTTGCATTGTATATTACAACATTTGTGTACTGTAATTCTAATATATACTTGAAAGGTGTTTTAGGCTATACACACGAAACAAAAAGCGACTACAAAATGCAAAACTGTTCGTACGAAATAGAGCCTAGTTGTTAAAAATATGTTAAAATTGTTAATAGTTGGCACCACATGTGGACATTAGTTTTAAATAACATAAACACAATAATATTTGGCCATTTTTTGTCGTGTATAACGTTGATTCGACAGGGCTAAATATTTACAACTTCAACAAAATAATTTGTCCCAACAGATTACGCAATTTTTCCTCATCTACAGGCTCCATGTTGCTTTAGTATACTCGCCTACAAATGACTGTTTTTATAGGCTTTGGAATCACACCAACAACTTTATGAGGCTGAGAAACGTTTAAGAGTTTTATTTGGTAATTATTTTCTTACAGTAACGTATCTCGCATAACTATTAAATTCTAAATTACACGCCTATAAACATAAAATAGGTTACTACAAACATTAAATAATTAGTGGAAGGCCAGAACTGTAGTTGGCTGAACAGTCGAAGCACCCCGAAACAAATAATCTTGTTATATAATAATAATAATAATAATAATAATAATAATAATCGCTCAATTATGCCGTATAAATTATAAAATCCAAAACCAGTCTTAAGTTCACAAAGTGTTTATTAAAGAATAAAAACTAGATCTATAAGAAAAAAAAAACAGAAGAAAGATTGAAAAGTGCTAGTTAAACATGGCCCCAATGTGTCATATACATTAAAATTATTTTGTTTATTTTTTATTTATTTATTTATATATATTGTTTTACAAAGTACAAGTTCAAACTGGCAGTCACGTGCTCTGACCCCTGCTCTGAAACAAGAGGCCAAAACACAGGTGTATACGCTTCGGTTTATTTACCTGCCCAGAGCTCCATTGTATCCTTAAACATTCAAAAGCAAAAAAAAAAAAAACACTAGAAAAGGGTTCAGAACCCAATACTTCACTCCAGAGGCATTGGCAGAATGGATTAAGGACAGGTAGCTAAACATGAATTGTAATTCCTTGATGTTTATACCTTCAATCTGCTGGCCATCCTCTCACACTAGAAAAGGGTTCAGAACCCAATACTTCACTCCAGAGGCATTGGCAGAATGGATTAAGGACAGGTAAACATGAATTGTAATTCCTTGATGTTTATACCTTCAATCTGCTGGCCATCCTCTCATTTGATTGAACAGTTTATACACATTAATAACATGAATGTTCACGAGTCTCTTGTGAAGGAAAATGTGAAATCTTTGGTCCCTGCATCAGGCAGGCTACTCGCCGTGAATGCCCGTGCTTCCACAACTTGAGGCTCCAGAAAGAGTTTTTCCTTCTTATCTGTCCTAAATCAGCAGAATTTTAAAATGTCTTTATTTATTTATTTGAAATCGATGGACCTTGCATTTATTGTCGTTTAGCATGTATATCTGTCGTTGGTCTCGTGACGCACGAGCTATATATCAATCCGCGCGTGAAGTGCGGAGTGTTTGCTCTCGTGGTCCCAGTATGAGCAGTGCATCATGGAGAGTTCTGCGGGTTGGCGCGAGCAAGCAAACTGCAGCCCTGTCCCGTTACCAGTGGACCCCGGAGGGAGTGCAGCCGTGGCGGGACTCAGCTGCTGCGCGTGCGGGTGCGCATGAGGGTGCGTGTGATGGTGGAGATGATGGTGGCTTATGCCGTTGTAAGTGTTCACCATGCCCGGGAGACCTGTGCTCTGCACACGCGAGTATGGATTGTACGAGGACGGCGCGGACAAGCCTTTCAAGTTAACGGGACTTACATTCCCACTGCTCATCTGACAGGAGGCATATGGCATAGGCGCATGAGACCATGAGTTATTGATAAACCCTGACTGCAGGTATTTGGGCGGTGAGAGGTAACCATACCCGTCACCACCGAAAAGAGATTTGCCAGGCTGGAAATGGGTCGGTGGAGGCCTAAACGGCCTCTTCATGCGTCGCCTTCGCCGGTAGTTGCCCTTTTCGAACATATCCTCGCATGCCGGGTCCAGGGTCCAGTAGTTGCCCTTTCGCTCACCGCCGCCCTCCCGAGGCACCTTGATGAAGCACTCGTTAAGTGACAAGTTGTGTCGGATGCTGTTCTGCCATCCTTTTTTGTTCTTCTCGTAGAAAGGAAACTTACTGATGATGTACTGATAGATGCCGGACAGCGTGAGACGCTTCTCCGAGCTCTCGCGGATTGCCATCGCTATTAACGCCACGTAGGAGTACGGTGGTTTCTGGGTCGGGTCGGATTTGTCCGGTCCCTTCTCGGGAGGGGTTTCCTCGTTTGTTCGGTCTTTCTCCGCTGAGCTCGAGGTAGTGTCCATGAGTATCATGCCGTTATCCTCGGGGCCTGGGTAGGTGGTCATCATTGCGCACGCAGACCTACACCAAAACAAAACCGTGGAATAATAAAAACAGCTCAGCAATGCAAAATTGTCTTGATGACAGTCGAAATCCTCAGACTGCAATCATGTAAAGAGCTTCTTCTTCTTTTTTTTTTTTGTTGTGCAGCTTAATGTCAGCGTTAAAGGTTTTACAAAACTCCTGCGCTTCAGAGTTTTTCCTCAACTAGATACCCACGGAGAAGGAGGGTAAATTGTGGTTTGGTTTTTCCTTGAGCCCGCCTTTTCTTTCCCTCACACACATGTTTGATGCGGTAGGACATAAGCGTCCTGATTCGTATGCCTGGAAAGCGATTTATCTCTTTTGCTTCATACCTTCTAAATTCGGAACTATGTCTCTCACCACAACAATTGAATCAACAACTGGAAACCGACACAGTTTTAGAAGACATAATTAGTTCATATAACAGGTGCAGGAGCCGAACTGCTAAACAAGGTTCTGCGCAGTCAAACCACTTTTAAAATTAACCAATTTTCGCCCTAAATAGAAAAAGTGATTTAATAATTAGGAATTATAAACTAATAGGCCTATTTAAAAACAATATGACAAACTGTTGTTATTTTTTTTCTTAATATTATTAGTAGCTAGTAGTAGTTAAAACTTGCCACTATTATTACCTCTGCCGACTATATCTTCCAGGTTTACCTCCGATTAGACTAACTAGAACTTTAGTTGACATATATACCTGTTTTCATATATATAACTTGACTCTAGTGATTTGTGACTTGTATGTAGCGCTGTTGTTCTGTGTTTGGCTCCTAATTGTTTTACATTTTTGTAAATTTCGTTAGTTATTACCAAGATTCTTTTTGACTAATCTAAGCGTTTGATTTGCATTGAAGCTGTCGGTTCTGCTCATTTTAAATTATAAGCATGTCGCTTTAAGTAAGAAAGTGTTAGTCAAGAACATGGGCTCAAAAGGATAATGTGACAAATCACTCATATGGGATCTGTGTTAGTGGATCACATTGCGCCACAATATTTATCTCCATTACGCAGACTAGCCCGAGTGTGTGTCAAGTAAGGGTCTGGATCTGAATAAAACTGTGATTGTAGAAAATATCATTGTAGCTGGATATGATAGAACCTGCATTGTCCAGCAACAACCATTTGTGCATGACTGATTTCTGGAGACATTATAATGTTAGTCGCACGTTTTTTTCCCAAAAACTAAATAAATAAATGATGTAATTACGAAATTAATTACATGCAGCTTACATGCATCTTTCTCCTTTGCTCTTATTAACTGATTATGCCAAAACAAATATCCTCCACGATAACGATAAATAAATCGTGGTGGTGAAAAACGCCGTTAATTTACCCACTTGAGAGGATCAAGTTACAGGTTAACTGCATGTCTAGATTAGGCTAACTGTAATAACTACATATTTTATAATAATGGAATGAATTTCTTAAGAAGTTTTGACCAGTTATATCAAAACGGGTTTGACCCTTACACAAAATAAATAATAATTCAGTTATACAGTGCAGATGCGACCGTCTAGATAAGTGTATAGGCCTAACGCTCGCCTTCAATTGGCTATTCAACGCAAGATAAGTAATGACCTTTCTTCAGCACCGCTGGACCTGACAGCTTCTTTACCGATGCTCTGAAGTAGCTATCCACGTGCTGGTTTGATAAAGGCTATGACAAGTTAAGCTTGAGAGCATAGCATACAGGATAACGTGCTCTCCTACACCACAGTGATGGGATAAAATGCAACCTGATTTCAATTACACGAGGTGTAAAAAAATCAGGGAAAAATTGACACAAGCAGAAAGTACGCATAATAATAATAATCTACAGATTTATTTTATTACAAAAAAAAAATTAAATGTTATAAAGTCTTATAACTGAGTCTTATAATATACTATAACACCCACGTTTTAATATTCGACACACAAATTCACTTGGCCTATACCAAATACAACTCAGTTCACCATTAACCAGTGACGTTCAGCTAAAATTTGCAAACACATTCATTCCATAACAAGATAATTAAAGCAAATATTCGTTAATTAGGGTTAAGTAGCCTATTTACCGTCTGAGGAAATTAATGAGAAAATCTTGCAAGAGGTTGTTTAGAGTTATTGAAATTAGTCAGCTGAACACTTGTATTTATTAATTAGAAATCGCTGCCAGCGTCACAGGTAGCCTACTATATTTTAGAATTACAATTGTTTTTAATAATCAAAACAACATTACTCTCTCAAGCATCTCAGTTTAGCTTTAAAATACCTTTTTGAGCACAGGCCTATGCAGTGGAAATAATAATATATAAAATAAAAAAATAAATAAAATAAATATTCTCGTCCGTCCGATGTCGATTTTTTTCTTTTTTTCTTTCGTTTTTTTTTTTTTTACATAAGAAAAACAACAGTAAAAGTTTTTCACCTGGTTGAGTATAGATAGCTAAATGACAAAGCAATTGGTTTAAAAAATAATACCCTGTCATGACATTTCAGGAATGTTTTACTGTAATTAGTTGATAAGCTAAGGAAAGATTTAGTTTCATAAAATATTCCTCGAAACAATTAACAAATCACAAATGTTCCACCAAGAGAAAGAATAACATGTTTTTATTTTAAAATAAATATACACACTATTCATCTGATCCTAGCTGTAAAAAAAAAAAAAAACTCACCAGGATTGTTAGCCCTCACCACGAGCAAAAGATTTTTAAAGATAGCAATAAAAATGCTCTTTCAGGTGTGAACAAGATCCATCTTTTGTCACAGGCTCAGTGAGGAAAAGAATAGCGAGTGTGTGTGGAGAGGGAAGGAAGGAAGAGGGAGGAGAAAAAGGAGAGAAATGTAGAATGCATTAGTTTGTAGTGCGTGCTTAAGTATATACTCTGAAAGACTTTCCCCGAAATTCCCGTCCTCCACACTTTCTGAAATCGGGATGAGACATGAGGTCAATGTTTGGGCGTGCGGGAGGCACAGACACGTCTGTTATGTTATAAGGACATTTTATAGACTTCCGTTGTTTTTATATCAGGTTAATGATCTATTGCTTAAAAGTGAGGATATTTTGGGCATCACAAGTATAGTCAACCCATACAGACACACCTATGTTTATGCAAGTATATTTATGGCATTAATTAGAATGTATTTGAGTAAATATGGACAATAATTGTCCTTAGGCTAATGCAAGTGTGAGTGTAAGGAAGGACTCATGATGTTCCTTCTAATAATAATAAAAGTCTCTGGCCAAGCCAGTGTTCTGGTTAATACATCTGGATTTAAAGTACACTTAAGTAATCTTTTTTTTTTTTTTTTTTTTTTTTTTTGTGTGCACGCAAACACAATCATTGTTTCACATTTATAAATACATTTAATATTGTCTTATCAACAATCTGTTAATTGAGCTCAGGTGACGTCTTAAATAATGTAGAAGTCTAAACAAAGCTAACATTTTCAAGCTTTTTCTTGAAATAGAGGAATGATCACAAAAACTGTTAATGTCCTTACAAAGACAATTTCCTTCTTTGAGGGGAAGGACAGACAGGGAGCAAAAAGTGCATGCAGAGATGTGAAAATGGAGGAACGGAAAAAGGGATTAAGAGGGAGGGATGTTCTCCTGCTCCTACTGAGACAGGTGGACATCAAAGGAACACACACACACACACACACACACACACACACACACACACGTCTGTGTTTGTGTGTATGTGTGATCAGTCTACAAAAATTTTAAATCAAAATAATGTTGCACATTAAAATGAAACAAATGGAAACAAAATAAACTTACTTTGTCACGTTAATATATTATCGTATAACACACGAATGCGTTTACACACATGAAGAGAAAATGACAGTTTCACAGTTGACATGTTTAAATCCTCAAAGTTAATGGACCAAAAATGTGTTTAATTCAGGTGAACATGGTGTTTGTATGATGGGGCGGTCTTTACCTGACACCACCATGCCCTGCAGTTGCCAAGCTACCAGAGAATGTTCTTGGCAGTACAAAAGCCTACATGTGGGTGGCTATGAATTGTGTGAGATCTTATCACATCATGTCTCCATGACTACAAGAGACGTTAATACAGCCATGACACTGCAACCGTGTCACACAGCTGTTTGACTTTTTACTGTTCTCTTCATCTTCATCATGCATTCATTTTCCATCTTAATAATTAATGTAGCTTTCTCTCTGCTAAAAGTGTCTCGTTTTAGACCTTGACATACAAAAGGGTGCCTATAATGGTTGTGGAGCAGTATAGGTGTGAAAATATTGACATTGATGTAATACAGAATTAACATTCAGAGCACTGAAGCACTGTAGATGTAGTAAAACAGTGTGGCAAAAAGCACTGATTCATTCAAGCATGTGGAAGTGAACGAGTAAAATGTATTTGTGAAGTGTGTTATAGTTGTACATGTGGTTATAAGTGTTCTTATTTATTTGCACATGTGATTGAAATGGTGTATGTGTGTGTGTGTGTGTGTGTGTGTGTGTGTGGTCTTTGCACACAGTGTGGAGTAGCTTCCTGCAGGAAAGGAAAAGTAAAACAGGACGTCTTCAAATCCGCAGGGAAAAGGATTCAGAACCTGTCTCAGACCTCCACACACCATCTCTTTCGTTTCATTCACTACATCCCTCAATCATTCTGTCAACCCAGATCTTTCCAAAAACTCAATATGCTATTCTTCAGAATACATATCTTTTCTATTATGTCCCATTTTCATGTACTGGTTTTATTTATAAGAAAACTGTCAAAATATGTTCCAATGAGTGATGTTCATGTATACCAGTTTAAATAGAGATTCAAAGTTTGGAATTTAAATAGAGATTCAAAATATTGACTTCTTTTGTATAACGTGTATAAAGCCTCTTTTTCGTTGGTGGCTATTGGGCTATTACTCTCCATTGTTGCTTCACAATTAATGTTTCTGAACAATGAACTTGATAGATTGGTGTCGATAACACTTTATTTTAAGGATCAATTCTTATTTTTAACTAGCATGAATATTACTAGCATAGTGGCTATTTATTAGTACTTAAAAAAGCACATATTAATGCCTTATTCTGCACGACCATATTTTAGATTCCTTAACGCTACTCCATCCCTAAAATTAACAACTACCTTACTAACTGTTAATAAGCAGCACATTAGGAGTTTATCGAGGCAAATTCATAGTTAATAGTTAATAGTGAGAACTGGACCTTAAAATACAGTGTGACCTTGGTGTCTTTATTTCTTTATGTGTCTACATAGCA